AGCACCCTCCGGCGGTGGAACGCGCCACAACCACACCAGCGGTGAGGCCATGGCCCCTTGACCCTCGCCCGGCCCCTCCGGGGAGCGGCTCTAGCTTGGGGCTGGTCGACCTTGAGATGCCCCACTTCCACTTCTCCGGGCAACTCCCACAATCCGCTCGGTGTAGGGGGAGCCCTCCGTCGTCGTTATGAAGGTAAAACCAACTCGTGTACCACCGGCGGTTGGAGGACGCGAGTTGGGCTGGGATGTAGAGGTGCAAAGGTCCCGACGCGCACTTGAGAGTGCAGCCTCCGGCCCTCGCCGCCTTCCTCTTGCCCGACGTGCCGGCGGCTTTGTAGTATGCCCCGCCGGAACAGATGGAGCCACAACTCCCAATGGGGCGCGATCCCTAAATACCCCTCATGACGGCAACAAAGATAGCACCGAGCAACGGAGTTGGGATTAAAATTGTGGAGCTCCACGCCGTAGTAGTGCGTGGCGCCCGCATGAACCGGTCCGCCGGGACGCCGAGGCCACGCTTCGTGGAAGGAGACGAAGCTTCACGACGTAGCCGTCGCGCGAGGCCTCGGCTCGGCGGCTCGCCGTCTGAGCAATCCATTCGGCTGGCGGAGTCGATCACCGGGCGGAGGAGCCCACCGTCGACAAGCGATCGGAGCATCTCCTCGGTGACGTCCCGACGGATCCTGTGGTCCACCTCGACGACAACGATATCACCGGCCATGGAGTGCGCGCTGGGGAGTCAAAGTGCGGTGGTGAGTCTTTTCTCTCCTCCCACGCTTTCACTTTTTTTCTCGCTTCCTCCCTAGGCTCGCTCTTCCTCCTCTCCTTCTCGGCACTTTCATTTGCTCTAGCGACGGCTCGCGGGGGCGGCGCTAATGCAGCAAGGTAAGACGAGGAGGGCAAAACTCCCCGTATTTATGCGGGGAAGAGGCGAAAGCGGGCGAGCGATGAAATCGAGGAGATTTCCTCCAATCAAGGCGATTAACCACGAGCCGATTTCACCGCCCCTACGCCCGTCTCCCGCATTAAATGCGAGGGACGGTTCGTCCCATCCACCACGCCACGCCGGCCATTAGGCAGCAGTGTACCGCTTCGACTCCTAATAAAACTGCCTCAAAAGCGCGCGCCACTGTGGGTGGCGAGCCAATAGGGAAGATATTTCCCGCGGCATGTTCCTTTCATAGGAAGGAACCGGCTCTGAGCCTATTACGATCCGGGTTCAAGGCTGGACCCAAAAGGGTTTCGACAGCTGCCCTAGGATAACAGAGTCAGGGGCAACTGCGGGCGAGCCTATTCGGGGCCGAGACCCAAGCGAGCGAAACGCTTGGGACGCCCAAAGTCGTGTTCGAGACCGGCGGAAAGTATCCGAATGGGATCCCACCGTGAGGAGGCACCGAGCCACCGAGGCCCAACGAACGGCCTCGGCACCCAAAAGAGAGAAATCCTCCGGTACTCTTGGAGTGTGTCTGGGACCGCTAGCCGTCCCCTAACGAACGGGTTCGGGCCTCCACTGGACTACCCGATAACAGCTCACCGGGAAGTGCCACCGCTCGTGCCCATCGAGGGTAGCGAGGCACATTCCACCCCTCCTTCCAAGCGAAAAGGAAGCGCGAGGGTCGCATAAAAAGTCAGGGGAACCCCTGACGGCCTTCTCGCCCTATGCAGAGGCTAGGGGGCTCCTCCTGCAAATATGCCGAGACCCCACGACCCGGGCTCGCGCCCAAAGGGGCCTCGGCAAACAAACCCTCACGCCTTGAGGGGCGATAAAAAGTCGGGGAACTCCCGACGGCCCTCTCGCTTCTGCACAGAGAGCTAGGGGCTCTTCACAGGACCTTGCCGAGACCAGAATGGGCTCGGCAAACAAACCCCTCACGCGAGGGGCGAGTAAAAAGTCGAGGGAACTCCCGACGGCCCTCTCGCTCTGCTTGAGAGGCTAGGGGCTCTTCCTGCGACCTTGCCGAGACCAGAATGGGCTCGGCAAACAACCCTCCATCCAAACGAAAAGGATATGTGAGGGGCGAATGAAAAAGTCGAGAGACCCCGACCGTCCCTCTTGCTCCAAAGGAGGCTCGGGGCTCCTCTTGCACCCAAAAACCAAGACAAAAACACGATAAAGGGCACCGAGCCCGTTACGGTCCAGGGGTTCGAAGGCTGGGCCTCCAAGAGGTTTCGACAGCCGCCCCAGGGCAACAGAGTCAGGGATGACTTCAGGGCGAGCCTACGAATGGCCCAGTTCGAACGAGCAGCCGCTCAGGCGCCCTAAGTCGTGTTCGAGACCGACAGAAAGTATCCGAATGGGATCCCACCGTAGGGAGGCACCGAGCCACCGAGGCCCAGCCAAACGGCCTCGGCACCCACTAGAGAAATCCTCCGGGTACTTTTGGAGTGCGTCTCGGACCGCTAGCCGTCCCCTAGCGAACAAGGCTCGGGCCTCCACTCGGACTACCCGATAACAGCTCATCGAAAGTGTCCACGCCGCGCCCATCGAGGGTAGCATGGCACATTCCACCCCTCCTTCCGGCGAAAGGAAGCGTGAGGACATACCCAACGTCGGGGGACCCACAGACGAACCTCTCGCTCCGTCAAGTGGAGGCTAGAGGGCCTTTTTTTAGCAAACCTCGCCGAGACCCCCGCAACCCGAACTTGCGCTTATGGGCTCGGCAAATGCGATAAGAACTGATCACTCAAACGCAAAAAATGGAGAAAGCCCACGGAGGAGTAACTTCACTCCTCCCGGGGCTCGGAACTACTCCACGGAAGCGGCCACACCACACCACCGGAACCCCGTAAAACAAACCAATTCCTACGAGCAGGCATAAACCGGCCTCGACGAACCCTCGTGGAGAGTGCGCGCACTCACCCCGAGGCTCGGGGCTCTTGTCGGGTACCTTAGAACGGGTACCCCAAGCAAACATCAAAATAAAGCTAGAAGGTAAGCCGTGGCCCCCTCACCTGCCACGACCGAGCCCTCCTCCACCTCGCCTCAACCCTCGGCAGGAGGTCTCGGAACAAACTCCGCCTCGCCCCGGCTCCCCTGTGGTAGGCCTCGGCAGGGGCGCCGTCTCCGCCTCGCCCGAGGCTCTCCAGGAAGGCCTCGGCGGGGTACATTCTCCGTGATCGCGAGGCGCCTCGCGCGAGGCCTCGTAAGGAAACTGATCTCCGTCTCGCGCGAGGCCTCATTCTCCGTGTCGCTCGAGGCCGGCTCGTCCACGGTCCGTCGCCCCCCGCCTCGGCCGACCCTCCCGACAACTCGTCATGTCTCATTAATGCTTCAACCACTCCCGCAATCTCAGCCGGACGGTGGCTCAACGCCACAGGATGGCCGACGCGACCCGAGGTCGCATCGGCCTCGCCATACCGCCGGGGAGAGAGCACGACGGGATTACCGCCACCGTGTCCTACCACTGTGTCCCGACGATCGCGCCATACCGACCGGGACAGGGCATGACGGGGATTACCGGCCACTGTGTCCTACCACTGTGTCCACGATCAGCGCCATACCGGCTGGGACAGGGTACAACGGGGATTACCGACCACTGTGTCCAAACGCTGTACCCATGATCGGCCGCCCGCTCAAGGCCTCGGCATCAGATGCACCGGGGCCTCGGCGATCTTGGGGTTCATGCTGCCGAGACCCCCCCATCATGATGCCAGCCTCGGCATCGACCAAGTCTCGGCCTCGCGCCACAGTCCGTCCACGGTGGCTTGCGTTCGCCGCCAAGGCCCACTCCGAGGCATTCCCGGGGCTCCCACGACGCCAGATCTCGATGGGACGATCACGCCGCCCAAAGCTCCAAGGACAGACCACTCCGACGGCCACACCGCCACAGAAACATGCTACTGTGGCCCCAGACGCGCCGCCTCTGCTCACACGACGCCATATAGTTAGCTCATGTACCGCCCTAGTCCTCCCTTCATGCTATAAAAGGAGAGGACCTGGGCTGTTTTAAGAGAGGAGGGACACCTTGTGACACACAGACACACGCACACTCCTGCCGCCTGAGAGCAACGTCTCAAGCGGCCCGCCGACACCTCGCCGAGACCTAGGACCAGCTCCTTCTCTCCTTTAGCTTGTAACCCCCTACTACGAGCACCTCGGTGCAAGGAATACAAGATCGATCTCTCGGGCCGGACGTAGGGCCTCGATTGTCTGAACCAGTATAAACCTTGTGTCTCTTTGCATCACCATCCGGATCGAGAGCACGCAGAATAAATTCACTGGTTGGTTGAGGACCCCCGGTCCGAAACACGACAAGTGGTGTTTAAATCTATGGAGGAAAGTTTAAGGATGTCAGAGTCTTTGAATACTAATAATAAAACGTATTACAGTTTTCGGATATTAATAATAAAACGTATTAAAGAAGTCCTCCGGCATCGATCTGATAACTTTTCCCATCTCACAATGCACCTCCCATCTCGCAATGCACCTCGTGCATATGTCTTCCACCAGAGAACACCGATTTGACAGATGACTGATGGTGTAGGGTGTGTGGCCTATTTGCAAAGCTATAACGTCAAATATTCTGAGACATCATTCGAATGCTAACGCCCTGTTCGTTGGATCGTAAACGGTCGTAAATTTCTAGTCAGAACAGTATTTTTTTTTATCCTAAATTAATCAGCAGTAATAATTCACGATCATATAAGATCGTTTCGGCCCAGCCGAACAGGCTGTAAAACGTCATGTATTCGTGAATGCACTAGAGTTTAAATGAACCCGGCCCCTCCGTATCCAACTGTCCATGCCTGGGGTTAGCAACTCGTCTTGCCCCACATAAACGACTCCGCGTAGTCTCCGCCTCTCTCCGGTCAAGGGCCAGCGCACCCTATCTATCAGGCTCCAGGCACAGGCCATCTGCCGAGGGGCCAAGAGCATTGATAGGACGAGGATTCACATCATCTATCTGTCATCTGGTGTCCTTTCTGCGAGCCGCGGATCGACCGAGCTCAGGACTGGCCAGAAGAACTCCGTCACCGCGCAGGGCCTCCTCGACGCCAACATGACCACGGGATTCGCCTTCCAGTTCTGCAACGTCTCCGCCCACGCCGACCTCCTCCTGGCCACCGCCAACGGGACCGCCGCGGCGCCGCCCACGCAGACGTACCTCGCCCGGCCATGGAAGCAATACTCCCGGGTGGTGTTCATGCAGTCGTACATCGGCGACGTGGTGCGCCCCGAGGGGTGGCTCGCGTGGGACGGGGACTTCGCGCTCGACACGCTCTACTACGGGGAGTACATCAACACCGGGCCCGGCGCCGGCGTCGCCGCGCGGGTCAAGTGGCCCGGGTTCCACGTCATGACCAGCCCCTCCGAGGCCGGCAACTTCACCGTCGCGCAGTTCATCGAGGGCAACATGTGGCTGCCGCCCACCGGCGTCAAGTACACCGCCGGCCTCACGTCCTGATCACTTGATCCTTGAACCTTCCTTGATTGGTGTAGGCTTAGTAGTATTGTAACCATATACTCCTACTATATATACTACTAGCACAAATAGTCCCATTACTACATGGTATCTGTGTGGAGCAGAATGTAAGAAAATGGTGGGTTAATGAGTTGTTAGTTTTCTCTTTGGGTACTAGTATTTGTCTTCGGTTTTGTTCTGTCAACAGAGGAGCTGCAATCAGCAGTCAGCAGTGCATCTGTTACGTCTCAAATGTTCTACAAGTTCAGAAAACTGCATACTATGTTCCAGAATTTGTGACTTCATGTGCTACCCTGACTTCCTTGATAGACAAGCCGAAACTGAAAATGGACAAACTTCCTCTGAAGAAGACTGAAATGGCCTGAATCTGAATGCATTTAGTGATCAACCAGGAGGTCGTAGTCAGATCCCTTAATTTTCACGCTACAAGTTGCATAAGTCCTGTGGTTTGTAACATATTCCTGTTATCAGAAAATCAGTTCTTTCGGCCCTAGGTATCGCCTATCCTCTTTACTGCTTTTGCAACTCATATAATATGGTACACTGAAAAAGAAATCTGATACATCAATACATGTACAGCATCCAAACCAATACATATACATACAAGTGTACAAGTGATACACTGTACAGGGATTATGGTCTGCATCACAGCACCTTGTGTGTCGTCCGTCCGTTGATCAACATGCGCCCAACAGTTGAAGATTAGTGACCCAACATGCATAGGAAAACCAGGCATAGATGACCTCCTCTGCTTCATCGCATCCTCAGCCCTCCTCTGAATCAGATGCATGCGTGCCACAAGAATGTCCTCGATCACGCCCAGAAGCCGTACTTCACCGGCGTCCCGGTGGGCTTGAGCCACGGCTCGGCGTGCAAGAAGTTCTGCACGGTGAACTTGTCGGCCTCCTCCTTGCTGATCACCTTCTTGTAGCCGGGCCAGGCGACCCGGCCGGCGATGTCAGCGCCGGGCCCCCGGTTGGCGTACTCGGCGTACCACAGCGTCTTGAGCCCAAAGTCGCCGTTCCACGGCAGGTAGCCGGCCTTGTCGATGAACGCGGGGATGTCGCACTCCATGATGAGCGTGCGCGAGAACTCCCGCCAGGGGCGGGCGAGGTAGCCCGGATGGGCGGGCGGGACGCATCCCTGAGCCCCGCCTCGGCGGTGAAGCGGCAGTACTGGAAGACGAAGCCCGTGCTCTCGCGGCCGTCCGCGCGGCCCTGCGCCGTGGCGATGTTCTGCTGGTTGTCCATGGGCCGGCGGAGGAGCAGGACGCAGTTCTGGAACACGGCCGCCGCGTCGCCGAAGACGAAGTCGATGGTGCCCGAGATGACGCAGTTGCGGTAGAACTGCGCCTTGGAGTGCGCGTACAGCGTGTCCTGGAACGCGTCCATGCGGCAGTTGAGGAAGATGGACCTGTCCGACTGCACCAGCAGCGCCACCGCCTGGTGCTTGGCCGCGCCGGCCGTGTTGCGGAACCCCAGCGCGATGGCGATGAACCCGTCGCCTTGCGCGTCTGCAGCGACGACCGCGCGTACGTGCGCGTCTGTCAGAGATTTGAGGCCGCGCGTACGAAAGGGATGCTTGCTTTCGTGTTACGTACTGAAGGTTGCGGTTTTGTAGGTGGTGAGGCCGTCGGCGAAGTTCCTGCTGCCGGTGATGACGGTCTTCATGGCGCCGTCGCCGTACATGGTCACGTTCTCCATCGCCCTGGTGATCGTTACGTACTCCTCGTACACCCCTTGCTTCACGTAGATCAGGTACCTGTCTCGCGCACGAAATTAAAGGGCAGAAAGGGTCATCGTCGGTGCATGCATACGCAATCTCGATCCATTGCTGGTTTCGATGAGAAAAGAGCATGCATTCAGGCACTGGCACCTTCCGGTGTACTGCTTGGGCATGGCATTGAGCGCGTCGTTGATGGTCTTGAACTTGCCGCTGCCGTCCTTGGCCACCACCACGTTGGGCTTGAGTTTGCCCTGGAAGTTGCCCTTGAGCAGCCTCCTCTCCGGTCCGTTCACCCACTGTGGGGTGTCTTCCTCAATGCTGAGCAGCCTCCGGTTGTCAGCCGCCGGGACGTCGTCGTTGCGCCCGCCCAGGAACGTACCCGAGTGTTTGACTTTGGGTTGATTCTCCATGTTTTCTTCCTCGTCGACGCTGAGCAACCTCCGGTTGTCGGCCGCCGTGACGTCGTCCTTGAGCTCGCCTAGGAACGTACCCGAGTGTTTTACTTTAGGTTGATTCTCCATGTTTTCTTCTTCGTCGACGCTGAGGAGCCTCCGGCTGTCGGCCGCCGTGTCGTCGTATTTGAGCTCGCCCAGAAACGTACTCGAGTGTTTTACTTTGGGTTCATTCTCCATGTTTTCTTCTTCGTCGATGCTCAGCAGCCTCCGGTTGTCGGCCGCTGGGGCGGCGGCGTCACGCCCCCGGAACATGCCCGAGTGGTTGACTTCGGGTTGATTCTCCATGTTTTCCTCTCCGTTGTTGCCAAGTAACCTCCGATGGGTGAACCCCGGGATGTGGAGCGCGACCAGGACCGACGAGGCCTTCTCGATGATGGCCAGCGCGTTGCTGGTCAGCTCCTTCCCGGATTCCATCGTGTCAGTCATCTGCTTCTTGAGGTCCCCGTCGGGGAAACCGTCGATGCACGTCTCCATGTGCGCGATCACCGCGCTGAGCAAGACGCGGAGCTCGTAGCCGCGCTTGTCGACCCCGTCCATGCTGCTGGCGTCGATGCCGTGGAGCGTGCGCCTGAGGTCGTCCTTGGCGTTCTGGTAGATCTCCCTGCAGTCCGCGACGGCGGCCTTCACGCGCGGGTCGTCGCTCTTGATCACCTCCGACCGGTTGAACGCGTTCCCGAGGGCGTCGCCGATCACCGCCACGGCAGCTCGGACGATGTCCTGGGGCGACGACACGCTGGCGTTCGCGGCCGCCTTGGACAGGCTCTTCTCGCAGGCGTCCCTGTAGTCGGTCTGCGCGCACATCATCTTGACGCTCTTGGACGCGCTGATAAGGTTCGACCCGGAACCCGAGCCGCCGCCGGACGGGGAAGGGGATGACGACGAGGAGGACGAGGACGAGTCGTCTTGGGTGCTAGCGTTGTATGCGACGGCGGCGCCGCCCATGACAATGAGGATAAGCACGACCGACGCGGCGCCGGCGGCGAGCATGACGCGCCTACGCTGCTGCCGTTGCCTCTCGACGCGCCGCCGCTCCGTGAGCGGACCGAAGTCGGAGAAGGCCGTCGACATGGTCGACGGTTTCCCCCTTCCCTTTCTTCTCTCTCCCTCCGCCCTTACCTGGGGAAAGGCAGAGAGGACGGAGAAAGAGCGGCCGAGTGAAGGGAGATGCCCTCGTTTGCATGTGTCCAGAAACAATGGCGCCGAGAGATTTGAGGAAGTCTGGTTAATTTGGGAGTTGGTAAAATTTACAAACTTCCCGCTTGCTTCTTGCATGAAAAATGACCAATGCCTGTAGCAGGTCGAGGCATCTTCCATTCGGCATCGTTCGTTACTCGTTAGCTTAAAAAAATGACAATTTAGCCCAACCAAGATTCTAGGCCTGTTGGGCCTGCTTGTTCTATTGTTCGTTACAACTTACAAGACGTTGAATTATTATTTTATTTTCCAATTCGTTTTTAATAAATATTGCCCGAATCAAAAGTTTGCACAAACATGCTCCTCCCGCCAATATCGGATTGGTGAGATTTAAACTTTCTCCACTTTAAATGACGAGTTTTACCTTTTTCTCCTTTTAGAATGATGCGAGTATCCTTTTCTACACAATGTATCTTATCTTAAAAAAAAGAATGATAATTTTATATATGAACTCAGATATAGAGATAAAAATTTATATAAAATTATAGAGCTCGATGAGACATACAACTCTATAGTTTACAATTTTTTTTATTTAAAATCATCTTGATGCTGAAATAATCAATATGTTGGTATATGTACTTATAGATATAAACATTATATTGATTATTTTGATAACAAGATGGCCTCAAAGAAAAATTTAGTGACTCACAAAGGTGTAGGTATCGTCATGCTCTAGAATTTTATAAAGTAATACTCCCCTACGCAGTATATGTAAAAAATCATAACATTTTTATTACTTTGTATGGAGATAAAATCTATATGATTTTTTAAAGTTTGATGAGATATACAACTTTGTGATGATATTTTTTGTTGAATAATTAATTTAGTGAAATTTTACGGTGCTTGGAAAAAACTAGAGCCATCCGTTTGGATAGATCAGATGGCTATAAAGCAAGGAGAACCAATCTAGAGGAACTTAAGTTGTGGGCCAGAACAAAAAAAATATGTGGGTTCGAAACAAAAAATATATGAGCAAATAATTATTTTCAAAAGGGTATAATAGTATTTTTGTGTAGCTGCTCCCTCGGTGGACGGGCCCGCAACTCCCTCCCTCTCCTAGCACGGTAGCACCGCGGCACGACGACGACGCTTGCATCTGTGGATTCTGGGCGGCCACGGCGGCGAGCATATATGAGTGGCGGTGGCTGCTGCTGAACAAGGAGTAGAAAATGGCCAGAGCCGGAGGTGTCCTGTGCCGTTGCAGCTCCTGCCCTCGTGGCTGTAGTCATTCAAGGGCAAGGCCCTGGCTGAAGCAAACGCTTGCGGCGGCGGATCAACTGGAGGCAGCCTTCGAGGAGTGCTCCAAGGGTAAGCCTTCTTCGGCGACGACAGCGTTGGGTACATGGACGTCGCACTAGGCAGCCTGGTCTCATGGGTGTACGCCGCCGAGAAGCTCTATGGTTTCAGGCTCTTCGACGCCGCGAGGAGCCCGCTCCTGAACGCGTGGTTGGAGCAGTTCGTTCGGCGCGCTCGACGCGGGCAAGGCGGTGCTGCCAGTAGGAAAATACTAAACTGCCCTTAATTATAATTAATTAATTTTTCTTAATTAAGATCTGCGGTAAGTAATTTTGACGAGAGGAACCGGGGTTCCTCCCAAGCATCGTAATAGAGCTCATTAATTTATAGATCTAAATATTGTATCGATTACTTCGACACCGATATAGCTTCGAACATAAGAAAAAATGTGAGTTGTAAAGCTACATGTTACAATTTTCATGTAATTGTTATCTCTATCTACACTCATGAAAAATCTTATGATTTCCATAAGAGGCGTCATACAAAAAAGAAAAATCTCGCCATTTAGAGTTGCAAAATTTAAATCTAGCCATTTTATTTGATAAGAGAAGTATATTTCTACAAAAAAAAAAATAATCTAGGCAAATCTTTTGGGCAAAAGGTGAGTTAAAATATCTCACGTGTAGCTCACCTTTGAAAAGGACGTGTAGCTAGGTAAGTCAAGTCCCATGTGGACAAACCGTGACCTCAGCTGAATCCTAGCCGTGCGACTGTGCGAGTGGGTACTTTGTTACTTTTTACACCCTCTGTCCGAATACGATTCTAGTACAATATTATGTTTTATATATTATATATGTTAGACTAATTATTAATAAAAAACATTAATATTTATAATATTAAATAAATATCATTAAATTAATTACGAAATGTATTTTCATAACAAATTAATTTGGGAGCCATAAATGTGGACATTATTCAGTAGAAATTTGATCAAATGTGAATCACTTTAATTGACATGCAAGCTATAGTTGAGTTCTTTTTGGAACAAAGGGATTCGTTGTTAGCCTCCGCAGGACGACACAATTCATAGATTTGGTTCTTCTATAATATATATGGTTTATGGCGCCAGCAATTCCATATCTTTAGTTTTTACTATTGAATTACTCCCTCTATTCTCTAGTGCAGTAGTTTTTATTTGTTTAAATTGCAACAAAGATACAAATGCTCACATATATGCATGTGTACATTCACCCTATGAACGACACACACATACATTATACTTCTATGAGCATCTCCAAAAATCTCGAGATTGATGACAGTTGTTATTAATCTTGTCAAACAAACATCTCGTTATTGACGGATACGTCGCTTACCTAGTTCCTCCTCGACCGGTCACCTTTTTCTTTTTTTCTTCTTTTTTGAAAAAAAGACTATAGCAGTATTATTGTGTGCGACAATAATAGGCATGGGTGGAGTTATATCTTGCAATATTGCTACTCGTTAGGGCTAGGATAGACAAAACTATCGCAAAGAAGTAGGTTGGAGATTAGATTGTAAGAGTGGGGAGTGTGGTTTTATATGGTATACTAGGGGAGATATTAGCGCTAGGGAAAACTCGCCAAGAGTGATGTAACCGATAAACAAGAAGGCGAGATGGAATTGTAGGTTTGATGGTCTCTACAATTGAGAAATTTTCATGCCCATTCTTCTCAAGCAATTTGAACTTTTTCTATTTTTTTTATTTTTCACTTTTTCGACTACCAATGAACCCTGCCACTAAGATGAAAATTTAAGATTGAAATTAAAATTTCAAGTCTCTCCGGTCAAACTCTTTACTTTTTTGAACATTTAAATCTTAAAGTTTCACTCGACATTAAAATTTTGAACTTTTTGAACCTACTATCAATTGCCAAATCGTGTTCTTTTTTTACTTAGGCTGTGGGCAAAGAACTTTTTTCGGTACTAGCCACTCCATCAGTTGTAAGTCGTTTAAGTTTTGCTCTACGTCAAACATGTCTAATTCTAGACAAGTTTATAAAAAGATATATTAATAACTACAATATATATTAAATAAACAACCATCACTACTAATCGTTGTCTAGAAATCACAAGTTACGTGATTTTTCGCGCGTTTTGTGGTCACGTGGCTTGAACCTGTGATTTCCATGGCTCGCACGTTACTCCTCTAACTACTTCACCCTAAATTGACTTGGTTTCATATGAGATATTCCTCCTTATATTATCTTCATATAATTTTTGAAATGCAAAATTGGGACCATAAACAAATTCAAATGGAAATGTCATAAAATAAAAAGTTGTATAACTTTTCGAGGTCTACAACTTTGGTATTGGTCATTTCTCCATCCGAGGTTGTTTGGAAATTTTGAATTTTAAATGTGAAAAATTCAACATAATTTTCCTTATAGATGATTTCAAATAAAAAAGTTGTCAACTATAAAGTTCTATAACTAAAAATGGTTCTATAACTCTTCGAGATTTAGAACTTTTGTTTTGATTATTTCTCCACCTAAGGTCATTTGGAAAATTCAAATTTCAAATGTATAAGAAATTCAAACGTAATTTTGCTTAAATATATGATTTCAAATAAAAAAGTTATTAACTACAAAGTTGTATGAAATTGATTTTTAGAGACGACTAGAAATGGCGCCGTCTCTAAAATAGGGGCATTTTGTAGAGGTGGCTCAAAATAGCAGCCTACTCTACAAATGCATTTTTAGATGTGGCTCAGTTTAGACTGATTTGTAGAGATGGCTGTGGATTGAGCCGCCTCTATGGAAAAGCTTATGTTGCTGAAATCATTTATGTATTGTGCAGTAAAGTATATCTAATGAATCTTGTTCGATTGTGTAGATGTTTATGTGAAATTGATCAAAATTAGAAAGAAAAAAATGGCTTAGAACCGAAACGTATGGAGTAATTGATTAACTAGTGAATATTCAGCAAATAATACACTCACGCTCATTTCTAGTCCTAAAGTTTTCTCCGCGCAAAATACACTCACGCGCGAAAAATATGCCATTTTCGGACGCGGACGGTTCATGTCACCGTCTGGATTGGAAGACATCTCGATAGTCCTCCGTGTCTGTCGTTATAGCCACCCACAAGAGACACATCGGTATATCAATACAAAAAGGATGTTAAAGATGATAGCTGCTGTTGCGAAAGAAATGGCAAAGCACATCCAGATCCAGGCTGCGGTGCGCCGAAGGGAAACACTGCGTTTTAATTACATCGAAAGAATCTATAACCTGCTGCGTGATATGGGTCAATCATGCATGTTTTTTCCTGAAAAAAAAAAACGTGGGTCTATCATGTACTGAATCGAGAACGTTCCATGCATATTCAAATACTCCTACCACCGGTCGTCATTTGTCTCGTCTGGGTGCCTGCATGGGCTGCACGTGTGGTGGAGCGCAGAACGCATCAGGCAAGCTAATTTCTCGCGGTCCAGGAAAAAAAACACAGGCGATGTTTTCTTCTTTGGGTTGGTTTGGGATGCGCCTGATTGCGTGATTCGCAGCAGATCGTGAACGGTAGCCGTGGTCGGCCGGCCTGAAAGCGACCTTCACGGAGCCCCTTCGCCGCGCGTAACCTGCCAACGGAGGACACGTAATCCA